TCCACTACCTCATTTCTCCTCGTGCACTACCCCATTTCTCCTCGTCCACTACCTAATTTCTCCTCGTACACTACCCCATTTCTCCTCGTCCACTACCTCATTTCTCCTCGTGCACTACCCCATTTCTTCTCGTCTACTACCCCATTTCTCCTTGTGCACTACCCCATTTCTCCTTGTTCACCACCCCATTTCTCCTTGTGCATTACCCCATTTCTCCTCGTCCACCACCCCATTTCTCCTCGTGCATTACCCCATTTCTCCTCGTTCACCACCCCATTTCTCCTCGTCTACTACCCCATTTCTCCTCATGCACTACCCCATTTCTCCTCATCTACTACCCCATTTCTCCTTGTGCACTACCCCATTTCTCCTTGTTCACCACCCCATTTCTCCTTGTGCATTACCCCATTTCTCCTTGTTCACCACCCCATTTCTCCTTGTGCATTACCCCATTTCTCCTCGTCCACCACCCAATTTCTCCTCGTGCACTACCCCATTTCTCCTCGTCCACCACCCCATTTCTCCTCGTGCTTTACCCCATTTCTCCTCGTCCACTACCCCATTTCTCCTCGTGCACTACCCCATTTCTCCTCGTGCACGCTCTGTTTAATAGTTGCTGTTTGCAATGCTCATACAAGCTTACTTTCAAAAAGAAGTTTTGCAATTTTTCCACTTAGTCAGACTCACCAGCGGTAAGTGAAAATGGGGACGAGTACGTAGGACGGCCATCACCAGAATGATTGACAGTTATGAGGACCATTTATTTCAATGATCCACCCGGAAATAGAACATCCTCCACTATAGTTTTAAGATAATCAGTGTCTCAATTTTTGTCCCAAAGAGAATCTCCCACAAGCTTCCATATGACTCCAGCTGCATATATTATACAGACATTTAGGATCCATGGACTGTAGCCAATCTGGACGTGGCTGCAGGAGGAAAACTGATGACTAATGAATGTTATAACTGGTTAGAATTAATAGGCATAATCTGTCTGAAGGATGTCTTTAATAATCTTGAACACTCTACAGGTTGGCTTCACGCTAAATCGGTAACAACAGAACACAGTGTAATGAAACATTAGTGCCTATAAAATAACTATTTCATATATATCAAACTGTAAACAAACTTGGAAGTAAAATTCACAAGTTTAAAGACCTTTATCCAAAAAGTTAAGTGCTATCATTTTCTTTTTCCTGCTTTGAATAGCATCCTCTTGGTGCCACATCATTGAATATTGACCTCGATAGGTTTGATCTGAGTGTGTTTCTCAGCTGCAAGCAGAAGGTCAGAAAGTCGTTCTTCTACAAAGAGACTAGTTTGATCTTAATCGTTTTAAGCTTTGAAAATGATCTCTCCACAGAAGCTGTCGTCACTGACAGGGTTACATTGATTAGTATCATCTTCTCAAAGGTTGGAAATAGTAACTAGTCCATATTTTCCCTCAGTATAGAAATAATATTCCCTTTGAACCTCCTGTTGTGCTCCTTAGTTATAGTATCCAGAAAAGTGTAGAACCCATCCATCCATCCATTTTCTTACACGCTTATCCCAAGTGGGGGTCACGAGCGTTGCTGGTTTCTATCTCCAGCTTTCAATGGGCAAGAGGCAGGGCACACCCTGGACGGGTGGCCAGTCCATCACAGGGCAACACTGAGACAAACAGGACAAACAACCATTCTTGCACACACTCACACCTATGGGGACTTTAGAGAAGCCAATTAACCTAACAGTCATGTTTTTGAAATGTGGGAGGAAGGTGGAGTAGAGACAACCCACACATGCTCAGGGAGAACATGCAAACTCCATGCAGAAAAACCCCGGGCCGGGATCAAACTAAGAACCTTCTTGCTGCAAGACAGCAGTGCTATCCACTGTGCCACTGAGTAGCCCATTGTAGAACCCAGTACCCCTAAATTATTCCTCCACAGACTCAAACTGAGCATCTACTTCAGACACCGCTGGACTGTGCTGTTAACACATTGTTCCTTTGGTTTCCTCTCTTGACCAGAGACTACAGTACGTACTGCAATGCCGAGGCTGTTTCCTTATCCTACACATCCAAACTTCTCCTCAGATTGCATGCTTTGCAATGTTTGAAGCACACCACCAATCACCTGGAAGGCAGTGGAAAAGTCCAAGCCTTCTTTTTCATTTTGCTTTTTTATTCTTATAGTGGCTGTAATGTTCAGGTTAGTTCCAAATGTTCTCACTTTCAATTATCAAATCATATATCAAATAAAAAATCAGAGGATTTAAAAAAAAATCACAAAGTAAAATTTTCAGCAGTCTAGGATTCACATATTCTGGACAATCGGTTCTAAATATTTTCTTACCATTGTGTTGCTTCACCTGCCAGCGCCCCTGTGTGCCGTCTGGGTCAATGCTAAACTTAAAACGTGCTCCAAATGGAAATGCATCTTCATCTTCAGCATTAACAATCAGCTTGTTCTCTGATGTGCACATCGACATTAAGTCTGTGGTCAGCTTTGGGCAGTGGTCATTGTACGGCTCCACCTTGATCGGCATATCTGTGTGTGTGTCGGGGGGGTAAACACACAAAGCATTTTTTTAGGGAGAAAGTTGATGCTATTTTAGTAACTAAAACAGTTTCATACAATGCAAACTTCCACAAACTGTTTTATTCAATTATTCTATTACATTAGATGTTTTCTTTTAGTAAACTTTCAAAATATGTTAGATGTTAATGTTTTCATCAGCAGGTAGCATGATGGCGATTAAGTCAGTTTCACACAGGAAATGATGATGACACCATGGAATAGATTGAAATCACTTGGTTGTAGTTGGATTAGTCATTAAATTTGCTTGAACTATTTTCGTCTGATTTTCTAAGACCAGTTGGAGGTAGCGTCAGTCTTAGCATTGGGTCTAACAGCGACCTACTAGTGGAGGAAAAACTGCTTTAAATTGTAAGTTCCACTGAATCTCTGCATATTTGTCAAAATAACAGATTTAAATGATTTTATGAGTTTATTTTCAAAAAACGTCTAAATGTTTGATTTCGAGCCTCTCACATGAGGCATTTCGTGTTGCCATAGCAACAACTGCTTTCCTTTTTGAGTGTAGGAACGAGGGCAGCCTACTTCCACATTTAGCATCAATCAAGGCGCCCTCCTCAGCTGGAGTGGGACTTCATAGTGAAAGACATAGGGGCTGGTTTGGGATTAGCCAAAGTCTCTAGCATGTCCTGGGCGTCTCCTGGGCCTCCTTCAGCAGGAGGCATTAAAGGGCATCTATAGAAGATGTCCGTGCCACCTCAGCTGACTCCTCTTGATGTTGAGGAGAACCAGCTGTGCTCTGAGCCTCCCCAGATGGTAAAGCTCCTCACCCTCTCTGTAAGGGAGAGCCCAGCCATCCTGCTGAGGAAGCTGATTTTAGTATCATTAGTTTATTATCTGATTTCCTGAGCACATGAGGAACATAGACCAAGAGTAAATAGACAGCTTTGCCTTTTGGCTCAGCTTTCTCTTCAGAACAGTGGACTGATGCAGCATCCCATTAAAGGTGGAATCCACCTCAACCTCCAATCATGAACAGGAACCCAAGACACTAGAACTCCTCGCCTTGAAGCCGGACCTCCCCAACCTGAAGAGGGAAAACCAACTTTTTCAGTCAAGAACCACGGCCTCGAACTTGGCAAAGCTGATCTTTATCCCAGCTCCTTATCAATTTCCACAGTGCATGCTGTGGGTCTTGGCAGGTGGGAGCCAGCAAAACCATGTCATCTGCAATAACTACAATCAACTTCATTGTTTTATGAGTTCAATATTTGCCACACTGACCTTTAGGACTGCGTTTATCCAGCTCAGCTTTCATCGATGAAATAAACCTCGGAGGATTGTCATTGTCATCTTCAACCTTAAGTTGAATTTCAATTTTCTGATGGTCTTTGCTGCCTTCTGGGTATTTGGCAATAGCTGTGATCTAAACAAAAAATAATAAAATTTATAGCGGTAGAGAAGCTCATTCTCATTTATGTTTTGTAAAAACAGGAGATAAAAACATTTGCAGGTAGCAGAATGAAACAAACATCTAACTTAAAACAGTATGTTTTACAATTACATTGATACACAGAAGAAGCAAAGGATCCATTTAACATCTTGGATGATTTTCTTTCCTTTTATAGAAATGATGTTAACTGCTTGTAGAAGAAGTTGTGAGTGAAGCTCCTAAAAATCCAAGCTGACAATAACCCGGAACACATGCAGCTGTTCCCGTAGACCCACTGCTGCCTATAAACCTCCCATGGTTTAAAATCAGTGGGATCAAACTTTTTAACCAAACATGTAGCGAGTACATTTATCCACTGTGAGATCAACACAGTCAGTCCATCAATCAATCAATCAATCAATCAATCAATCAATCAATCAATCAATCAATCAATCAATCAATCAATCAATCAATCAATCAATCAATCAATCTCTGGGGCCAGGATCGCCTCTTTATTGGTCCAGGGCCCTGTAGGGCGAGTCTGGGGCCGCCCACACCTCCTATTAATAATACTTTCCCTCTGAAGAGGCTTTTTGTACCAGCATGCTCATGCATTTGGTTCCAGGTGTTCACAGATTGACAATGATAATAACTGCTAATCTGATGCTACAGATCTATCCCACCCTGATTAATATTGTGGAATCACCAAAGGTTTTCCTTCCACACACATGGATATCTGAGGGATACCTGCTGCTCTGGAAGCTTTCTGATCTTTACTTTGGTTCTCTGTTGTCTTCTTTTTGCTGTTCTCTGTTTTCTGTTCCTGCCGTCTCATCCAGATGTGGAAGCAGACTTAGGAGTCACTCTAGATCTTCTGTGTCTATTTTGGATGTTTTGTCACTCTATCTTGTCTCTCTCTCTCTCTCTCTCTCTCTCTCTCTCTCTCTCTCTCTCTTTCTCTCTCTGAGTGAATGGCGGAGTGCATGGAGCTTGAGACGGGAGTGTCAGAGTGAGTGGTTTTTGAGTGTTCTACCTTTTCTTCGTAAGGTGTTTTTTTAAAGCACCTTCTTCTACATACTGTTTTTTTCTATTCTTAAGTTGATTTTTGGTTGTAGCCAAAGCTACCGGATCGATTTGGCGTTTTTGGCATCATGCCCGTGGTGGAGGGCGGTGCAGAGTTTGAAAAGTTGACACGTCGGCATGCTGTCAAACTCATACCGACAGTGAATTGTTCAGTAGAGGAGGCAGCCTTAGCCGCTGGAGGAGTGGAAATCTGCTTCCCGTATGAGTGGAGCGATTGGGATTTTTCTCACGCGGCGAGGCGTTGCCAGCGCCTCGCCGGCAACGCCGGAGCGCCGCCGAGGCGGAACGCGGTCCCGCCGAAGCGGGCCACGGTGTCGGCAATGCGGAATGCGGTTCAGCCGAAGCGGGCCGCGGTGCCGCCGAAGCGGGTCGTGATTCCTAAAAGCGCGTTCACGAGTCTACGGAAACTGCGGCAGACCAAACCAGATGAAAGTGCGCATTCAGCGTCTGCTCTGCCGATAATGCAAGCGTAGAAGAAGAAATGTGCTGTTTACCTGTGCAAAGAAAGAAACAGCGAAAGAAAAATCTCTTAGGACTTCAGTGTTG